GTTCACCACAGTTTTTCCAGCAACAGAATCAGTTTTTAGCACATAATGGGATATTCATAAATATTTCTTGAATGAATAAATGAATGGATACTTAGTTAAAGAGTTTACATCTATGTAATGAGAAATATCTGAGGGTTTTTAAACTAGAGAATCACATTATCAGAACTGTATATTTGGGAGATAATTCTGGGAGCAACATTGTAGAATGTATTTGAGGGGAAATTATCTGGAGATAAAGAGATCTATTAATGGTTATTGTGATTGTCCAGATGAAACACATGAATGCCTCAGGTAGGGTGGTATTAGGGAAATGCAAAGAAGGGGACAAATAGGAAAGACAACTCAGAGGTAGATTGATTAGGTGAAGGTGTTGTGGAGAGGCAGATGTCCTAAGATTTTAAGGTTCCAAGAGTGAATAATCTAAAAAATTTTGAATAATCTTATTAATACATATATCTGTTTTTAAAAATATGATACAAGAAAGTAAAAAGAGGGGTTGGCCCAGTGGCATAGTGGTTGAATTCGCATACTCTGCTTCAGCAGCCCAGCCCTGGTTCGCTGGTTCAGATCCTGGGTGTGGACCTGCACACCGCTCGTCAAGCCATGCTGTGGTGGCATGCCATATATAAAATAGAGGAAGATGGGTACAGATGTTAGCTCAGGGCTAATCTTCCTCAACAAAAAGAGGAAGACTGGCAATGGATGTTAGCTCAGGGTCAATCTTCCTCACCAAGAAAAAAAAAAGTAAAGAGAAGTGAAGGAAGAGGGAAATAAGAAATGAACAGACTAAGGTGGAAGAGAGTGATAGAATAAGAATGAGGCAGAAGAAACAAATAGAAGGAAGAAAAGAGAGACCAAAACCACTATGGGACAGCAAAGAAAAAAAAGAAAAGATTAGTGAAGATGTGGAACAATTCTAACATTTTTACATTGTTGATGGGAAAATTACTTTGGAAAAGCTTAGCAGTTCCTCTAAAGCTTAAACATAGAATTATCATATGACCCAGAAATTCCAGTCTTAGATACACATGCAAAAGAAATGAAAACACACGTCCAGACACAAACTTGAACATGAATGTTCATGGCAGCATTATTCATAATAGCCAAAAAGTAGAAACTCAAAAGTAGAAATTCAAATGTCCATCAGCCGGTGAATGTATAAGTAAAATACAATATACCCATAAAATGGAATATTATTTGGCAATAAAAAGAAATGAAGTCTTGCCTACTATGGAAAACAGTATGGAGGTGCTACCTGCTATCACACTGATGAATTTTGAAAATATTATGCTAAGTGAAAGAAGATGTAGAAGACCACATATTATATAATTTTATTTGTAAGCAACGTCCAGAATAAACAAATCCATTGAGATAGAAGGTAAACTAGTGGTTGCCTAGGGTTAGGGGGTTAGGGGAAAATAGAGAGTGACTATTAATGGGTTTGGGGTCTCTGTTTGGGGTGATGAAATGTTTGAAAATTGATTGTGGTGATGGTGGCACAACTTTGTGAATATAATGAAAACCATTGAATTGTACACTTTAAATGAGTGAACAGTATGGTATGTGAATTATATCTCAATAAAGCTGTTAAAGAAATAAAGAAAGAAAAGAAAAAAGGAAGGAAAGAAGAAAGGCAGGAAGGAAGACACCAAAAGGCTCTGGAAGCTCCAAAGTGTGTTTTCATTTAATATAAAATCTCCTCACAGTTATTGTTCACTGAAGCTGTCAAAGTCAATTACCTATCATTATCCTTCCCTTTTGGCACTCATATGACTTCTCCAGCAGTATCAAATAGTTCTTTCAATAGTTCTCGCTGACTCAAGGTAGGCCTTAATTTTCTGTTTACATTTCAAATTTTATTTTTTAAATAAAAACTATTTCCCAATGATCATATACAGTGACGGTAGGACATGTTTATTAGAGAACATTTGTACCTAATACATTTATTCATGTTTCAATGTTCAAAACAAGCCCTACCTTCTTGTGGAGGTCAAAATTTGTTCTTTTTTTTTGGGAGGAAGATCAGCCCTGAGCTAACATCCATGCCAATTCTCCTCTTTTTCTGAGGAAGACTGGCCCTGGGCTAACATCCATGCCCATCTTCCTCTACTTTATATGGGACGCTGCCACAGCATGGCCTGACAAGCGGTGCATGCATGCGCACCCAGGATCCAAACCCGGGCCACCAGCAGTGGACCGCACACACTTAACCACTACACCACAGGGCAGGCCCAAAATTTGTTCTTAAATAGCAGTAGAAAGGAAGAGAGATGATTAAGAATAAATGATGCTTAACTGAAAACATTAGTAAGAAAGCAGGAAAATGCACCAACAAAACTGAAGCAGTTTTGGCTTAAGTGGGTGAGAAGTACTGCTCTGGCCAATTACCTTTTCTGCAATAGTCTAGATCAATGGCATACATATTCTCTTTGGTCCTCATCAGGTTTTAGCTATCTCAATACTCTAAAATTTCCTTCAAGGAACAGCTTCTCAAGGAACGTCACCGTGTAAATTTGCATTAATGAGCAGAGCTTTGAAGAGTAGCACTCTCTGACCTTGATTATTCCCTTTTGAACTTGTATCACTTAAAACACCAATTATTTTAATTATATTTTAATTATGACATCAATCAACTTTTCATTTATGAAGCATGTCTTTGTTATTTGCATAATGTGGGGTTATATAAACAAGACACACAGCTTGTCAGAACACGAAACATAAAAGGAAGCACAAATCTTCATTTAACCTTTGTGTACCACTTTTAGTATTTCTACCCACATCACAGATTTAAGGAAAGTCTCATCATATCTGGTGGTACAATTAAAATGATCATAATTATCATCATCGCTAAGCCACTGCTATTATGAATAATACCACCATTTCCTGATCTTTGCATAACAACTTTCTTCCAGTGTTATTCTGTCTTTCCTAAACAATGCATTAAAACCCGAGCTACATGATTCACCCATCTTGTCTTGTCTTAAGTTTTCCCACATTTATTATCTTTGTCCATTAATTCCATCCCCATGGATGCTGCAAAATGTGCTCACCACATAATGCCTACTTCTGAACCCTGTGAAGGCTCTGGTGGTCCCCCTACCCCCAAGCTTGGAATCTCTTATCTGCAGGAACTCTCCTTGGAGATACTCAGGGCTTCCAGGCTCCTAAGCTTCTTCCCAACCTGTGCCCAGCATTGCTACTCAGATTCCAAGGTCCCGGGCATGAATTCCCACCTCTTTCTATCAAGAGCAGCACATCTACCATCCAGCACACACTTTCCACCAGCTCACTCCACTCTATGTACAAATTCCTTAGTATTCTTTCTCAGCGGCTTTTGATAATAAAAATAATAAAATAACCAAAACTCCTAAGTCCTCATCATGTCTTTGTTACTATTCTAAGTGCTCTTACACATATTAACTCATTTAGTCTTTGCAATAACCCCGCAAGGTAGGTATTATTACCCCCATTTTACCAATAAAGAAGCAGAGGCACAAAGAGGTTGAAAGACTGCCCAAGGCCCCACAGTGGGGGAGCTAGGATAAAAACTCAGGTACTCGGGCTGCAGAATCCACACTCTTAACCATTATACTGAAGAACCTCTTTCAGAGACCATGAGACCTTCAAATCATGTGGCCATTGCTCTGGCAGAAAGAAATCTCTTTATTTCTCATCTTTGAATCATTGAGTGACAACATTTTGGTTATATAAAGTGTTTGAAAAAACTCTAGGAAAAATAACAGATGCTAGGAGAACCATCTCAGGGGAAAGGACCTGAAGATGTACCTTGGTAAAAGACTGTAACATTGAAAGAATATGGCTTACACTGAAAAGAGCAAGAAGAGTTCATTCCATCCTGCTGAGGTTTGGTTCAAGAAATATCTCCCTATGAGATAGTCTGGATAATGAGCCACTCAGAATCTAAATGAAGGTAGAAGAATTAAAAGGAAGACACTTTTCAAAAATGCTTTGACTCTTTGTGACTGACCTGCTGAATGGGTAGCTTTTGTCACTGCTCATCTTCCCTTTGGCATGAATGCCTCAAAAACAAGGTCACATATTTTTCTTTTGTTTGAATGTCAACGGTTTCTCCAAGGCTGCACTACAGTGAACCTGTTTAGTCACCTTGTTGGGATAGTCTGACAAAAATTAAATTCTTTGAATTGGAAGGATTAAGGGGAGGGAGAAGCCCAGAAGGAAAGAGGAGAGATTTATTGCTTAGCGATTTTTAGGTAGAAAATTTGTAATCGTATCTTGATTCCAGGTAAATGCTTAATCTCATTTCTCCTCCTGCCGTGTATGAAGCAATTCATCTCAAAAAATAGTTTTTGTGTTGCAAATAATTTAGGGCTGCCTACTACTTTACGACATAGTCTTTCATTTAGTAGATAAATATTTACCGAGTACCTTTGAGGTGCAAGCTCACCTTTGCACCTCATTGGCTGTCCAATCTGGAATAGCCATGGAAATTTAGCCATTGAAATTAGTCAATGTTTAAGTTAAAATTAGATTAGTACTAAAAGAAATCAGGGAGAAAAAATTATTTTATTTTTTTAAAAACATCTAGGAATAAATATTTTAGGGACTATCTGCATTGTTAAGGTAATGAACTCAAACAATTTTCAAAGGCTACCAGAGGGCTGGCCTGATGGCGCAAGCGGTTAAGTGCTCACGCTCTGCTGCGTCGGCCCAGGGTTCGCCGGTTCGGATCCCGGGTGCTCACCGACACACCACTTGGCAAACCATGCTGTGGCGGCGTCCCATAAAAAGTGGATGAGGATGGGCACGGATGTTAGCCCAGGGCTAGTCTTCCTCAGCAAAAAAGAGGAGGATTGGCAGATGTTAGCACAGGGCTGATCTTCCTCACAAAAAAAAAAAAAAAAAGCTACCAAATGCAATATGAGCAAACCATGAATTCCAGAAAAGACATTCTATACCAAAACTATGTGAAACTATGTTTAATTCCTGTTTGTTTTTAATATACAACTCTCTCTCAAAAGGCCACCCATACTGGGTAGAAGAACAAGTTCATTGAAACCATGGATGATTGCCCTTACTATCATAGCTGTTGTGTTGGTTCTAGCAATAATCATTGGTCTCCTTGTTTACTTTTTGGCATTTGGTAAGAATCTATCTTATTGTATTATTTTTAAAGTTTAAAGATCCACTTAATTTATTTTAAAACCTTAATATTTTATAATTCAATTTTTGGTGCAATGATAATTTGCATAAACATATGCATAGTTTGCATAATACAATATTAATTTGCATAACTTTATCTACATTTGGGAAATGATAATCTTTTATGTAAAAATATTACTTCTAACATTTAAAATTTGACTTGGATCAAATAAAATTGTCTCTTGAACAATGCAATAGATTCACATCCTATGTTATTGTATGGTTTAATAATAGTTAATGTGCTGAGAGTAAAAATATATTTCAGTAGCAATTCTAACTTTGAAGTCAACATATGAAAATATATTACATTCTAACATTATTTAATTAACAGCTTAAATTTATGAATTATTACTAACTGGTGATAATTATGTCAGGACACAACTCACAACCACATGACTTTGAGAATGTATGACCTAAATAAGGGTTAGAGGGAGGTACTGGTCACAGCTATTGAATGTTTAATTCCCAGGACTTTATTATTTATAGGATTTTTTGGCATGTCATCCTCTCTATTTCTGATATTTATACAAGTCAAATGAACTAAAGAGAAACCATCCATTTTTGTTCTCTCTTCCAGATCAGAATTCTCACTATTACCAAACCTCCTTCCAGATCCCCAGTATTGACTATAATCCTGATTTTTCAGTAGAACACTCAAAAATTAGGACTGACTTGAAACAAAAAATCAGTAATGAGGTAAGAATGAGCTTTGCTGGCATTATTCCTACCCTGACGATACTACTATAAAGAAGGAGGTTAAAATAAACTAAGAGGTGAGTTGAGAAAAAACCAAATTGCACATATTTTTAGTGTTGCCAGATAAAATACAGAATGACTACTTAAATTTTAATTTCAGATCCTCCGGAAAATATACTTCATGCAATATTTTAAACATGCTTATGTGAAAAAATCATTCATTGTTTATCTGAAATTAAAACTTAATTGTATTTTTATTATTTTTATATGCTAATTCTGGCAACTCTAACCAACATTATCTCAGGAAAATTGGAAAAATACATTGGACCAGGGATAATTGCATTAGAGAGTGAACAACATAAGCCCAACACAATAGAAAAATAAATAGCTCAAACACATAAAAAAAAATTATTAGAGTTATCTGGAAACATAATCATTTAGGCAAAAACAACATTACCACACACCATTTATTAAGCACCTACTATGTGTATGACCCTGCTACATTTTCCATTAGGCAACTTATATCAAATATTTATTCCTGAAAATAAACCACAGAAACACACAGACTAGCTCTTCTACTGAAGACATCAGTTGAATACACAGCTTCTACTGAGCCTAGCCTCGACCAAAGATGACAGATCATTTTTGCCAGGTTCAGAAATATTTCTTTAGCCATTTCCCAGCCAAAAGCAGAAGCTGATGAAATGAGTTGAAGGATGCAACTGACTGGATTTGGCATGTCTTTTCCAAAACATATCCTAAGGAAATTTTGATTAGGGGAAAAAAAATCAGGGTAGGGTATAGAATGTTGTGTTACAGGAAGCAATATATGAAATTAGAAACAAACTAAGCTTGAAGTCAGAACAACTAGATTCATATTCTAATTTTACCCATTGTCAGCTTAACAACTTTGGAAAAACTACAAAATAGAGATAATTTCACCCAACTCCTTGAGTTATTCTGAGGATTAGTTTATGTTGTGAATAAAAAGCATGAGAAGTGTCTGAATAATGTCTGAATAAATGTTAGCATCTGTTTCCTGGGCTTTCACAGAACTTTTCATACACCTCTGCTAGAGCACTTACCGTCTTGTTACATCATTTTTATTTCATATGTCTGCGCCCTCTGGATTTGTGAGGAGCTAAGTCTACTTATTGTTATATTTCCAGTGCCTCTCATGGTGTCTGCCACACGGTAGGACCATAAAAATACTCATCCAGGAGATGACTAGTAAATAAATGGCCAGTTCACTAGTATTGGCCCTGTCCTCTGGAGCATAAGTGGAGACAACATAAAGAAGGAAAGTACAATCATTTAGATCAGAAGTTGGCCAACTTTTTCTGTAAAATGCCAGATAGTAAATATTTTTACCTTTTCAGGCCATTCAGTCTCTCCGCAATTACTCGAATATGTCATCGTAGTGCAAAAGTATCCATAGACAGTACGTCAACAAAAGAGTGTAGCTATGATCCAATACAAGTATTATGAACACTGAAAGTTGAATTTTGTAAAATTTTTAGATGTCACAAAACGTTACTCATCTTTTGATTTTTTTTCAACTATTAAAATAATGTCAAGACGATTCCTAGATGATGTGCCATATACAAAAACAAGCAGCTGGCTAGATTTGCCCTACAAGCAATAATTTGCAGACTCCTGATTTAGACTATGAATTACAGTTCTACCAAACATTTTTCTTAGAAATGATTAAAACCAGTACCTAAAATGAATTTTAGAGACTTCTTGCGGAGTTCAATAATTTAGACTGTTTATATGCTCAATTGCCGTGAATAATACATGGTTCACAAAGCTGTGATTTAAAGGGAAACAACAAAAAATCATGAAATTAGAAAGACAATGGAAGAAGGGAAGTAGAAAACTTATAATAACATATATGAAATATAAATATTATATAAAATATATATAAATGTATGTAGAAAATCTGAAAGTACATATACCAAAAATGCAAATAGCAGATTCTCTATATAGAGATTTAGAAATGATTTTAATGCTTTTCATTATACTTTGCTTTATTGCTTGCTTTTTATAACTTTTACAATGGATATGTATTAGTTTTGTCATTTAAATGTACATGTGTGTATTTAAAACTATTTCCTTGAAAACAAACTTCCCTTCACAGTCTGTCAGTAGGAAAACACATGGTCATTCATTTTTGAACAACTATTGATTTCTAAATAAACTTATGCTTACCAACCTATCCAATATGATATGACAGCACTTCACCAGAGAAAATTCATAAATTAAATCACGAGTGAAAAGCACTTGTTCAACATATGCCCAGTTTCACAACGTGGCAGATCTTCTCTTCTGATTTGTGGAACTAATTATCAACACTTAAGGTTTGGCATATGATCAATCTTTTTTCCTGAAAAGCCAGCTTGATGAGTCAATGTTAATTATCAGGTTCGTAAAGCCACAGATTCTATAACAAGCTGTGGTTTTGGCAAGAAATAAATTCTTCTTGGAATTTATACCACAGAGAAATTATCCCATATAAGAAGTCTAAAATGACACACAAATGGCATATATAGTCTTTGCTTATTCTAAATGATTATTTCATGCATTTTTCTTGATGAGTATATTCGTTTTAAAGAAGTTCCCAGTAAATATACATTCTCCTCTCCTCCCTTTACCACAGGATCAAAATGAGGCCTAAAAAGTTGCACTAAAGCCTAAAAAACTGATCCTTTAGTCACATCCATGAGGATGACAACTAAGTGTGAATGATAGTGGTTGATAAGTCCATACATATCAAGATTTCAAAGAAACTCAGTCTCTGCACCTCCAACTCTGTATATTTTTTAACTGGCTATTGAAATACCTAACTTAACTCTATATATCAGCCATCTTTGACCACGAGACAAGTTGTTCAAATATCAACATCCAATTACAGAGGTGATTTCATGACAACAGGATTATGCCCAAATAAGCTTTCTGGAGATAGCTGGAAACAAAATTAAAAGTAAATGCTATTTGAATCTCTGCAGGTTTTATACAAGAATCTTTGTGATATATTGAAATGTGTGAAATTCATATTTAACAAAATTCTATACTGTTGGTTTTTTTTCTTTCCTCAGATAGATAAGATATTTCAAAGATCCAGTTTAAATCATCATTACATCAAGTCTCATGTTGTCAACCTTAGGTAATCACAACTAATTAATTTGTATGATGAAAAGTCAACTTTGCATTATTTATTTATTCTTCAATTATTGCTTTGTGGACAGGATCTAAAAATCTTGCATATACAAAAAGCAAAAGTAATTTAATATTATCGCATTTGTTATTTCGCCTGTACAGAGTACCTACAGGGGGAGAGTTTCTTAACTTGAATAGTGATGAAATATATTCTACTGGCTGTCCTTTTAAAGACTCTTGCATTTCAGTTAAAGATTCTTACAATCATTAACTACTCCTCCCAATTTTACTTACTTTTTATTTTAACAATAAAGAGATATTATGAATTTTTAAAAATCAAGAGAAAAATATATTTATAATAAATCAAAAGCTCTTGTTAAATCCATGAACTCTCAGATACTCCTGAATAGGATCAAGTTTTATAAGCAGGGAATAATTCAGATATTAACACCTATATGATATAGGAAGCGAAAAAAATCCATGACAAAAAAAATATAAAATATTTATATTGTATTTTCTTGAAGATATAACTACTTTTTAAATAATAAGGTATAAAATAATAATCAATATGCTATGACCTCACTCATTTATTCTGGTGTTTTTGTTTTCCAGGTCAAGTAATGATGGTTTGAAAACAGATGTACTACTTCAATTTCAGTTTGCTCCTAACAGTGCAGACACAATAAAAAAGCAAGCTGATAATATTTTGCATCAGAAGTTGAAATTAAAAGAAAGCTTCTTGAAGATAGACACTTCATTACCTTATCTTAGAGGCAAGAAATACCATTTTTCTTCCCTTGTTATAGTTTATCATTTTAACAATCTTTTCATCTACAGAAAAAGCTTCTTTATTTCACCATAAATGAAACCACTTTTCATTTTTAAGTCTCTCATTTACTTGATAATAAATCCCCACACAATTAACACCAAAGATTATCTTCCTTTGGTTAGTATGGAAATAATTATGAAACAAGAATTATATGATAACCCAAATATAACAGTATTTCTTCCTCTTTCAAAAGAGATAGTAATGGAATTGTTTGAATTAATTAAGCATGCATGTGATAAAAGCTACACTCTGTTACTGATATAGTAATGTATAATGACCGGCTCTTTCTGTTGCAAAACTCTTTCTCCAATCTGAATCCAGATGTAAGAGTGGTGTGGACACAGAAAGCACAGTATGTGGGGCAAAAAACATGATATGGGCTGCAGTGGAAGGAGGTGTGGCATTTTAGATTGCAATATCAAAACTCTTCCTACAGCATGCAGGATAGGGTTGGCCCAGGGCATGGAGGGGATAGAGAAGAAGAAAGATGCCAGATCCTGATAGTACCTGTATCAGGCATAAAGATACTATCTCATTCGCAACACAGACCTAAAGAGCTGAATGATAAATGTTTGGGATATGAGATTAAACAAAGCCCAATATAATTCCTAGACCATTGTTAGGCTTCTGCAAATTAACTTTGAAGTTGTCATATTTTACCAGAACTTGCGTAAATTGTGAAATGAAACTATACGGCTGACAGAAAATTACAAGTTACCAATGAGTCTTCCCTCAGTACTTTTTCCCCCAAACTGTTCCAGAGGGCTAGAGCAGGTATAGTATAATATGTTAATAGAGGAGAAAATTGCATTATAGGCTTGACCAAAGTCAGAAAGAAGAAAAAATAGCTTGAAAATAAGAACTTGAAGTCTCTGTGAGTAAGGCCCAAGATTCAGCTCTATTAATCATGCAGACAGGACAGACTAGACTCTGAATCCAATGCTCTGGGCTTTAGATAGCAGAGACAAGACTTCCCAAAGAAAATGTCTTGTTGAAGAGATGTATGAAGGTATATGTGAAATGGAACTTTATTTTTTTTTAATTAATTTTGATTTTTAGCTCCCATTAAGTCAAATGATAGAAACTTAAACTTCATATCTGGATCTACCCCCTACTCCCACCCCACACTCTGCGTTGTTAGTGGACTTGGGTCATTCACAGTGTTGCTGGATTAGAGTTGGGTGTTTTGGTCTCAGTCATTATCAGTCCATGCAAGCATCTGCTGGTGATCCACATGTCACCGGATCTTCAGTTGTCTGTCTAAGCAAGTTACTGTTGAGACATTCCTCATTCCTATGGAAAGATCTCCTCAAATTAGTAATTCATCCTAATACTTCTGTGCTTCCCAAGGGTGCTTGGAAGTTACTTTAATTTGTATACTTTTAATTTCATCTGTCTCTGCAAAAGACTGATAATTCCTTCAATACAGAAAATGTGTCCTCTGTAGTTACAAACACTTCCCCAAGATTAACACAGAACTCAGCACAGGGCAGGAACTTGGTATTTGCAAAATGTTTTATCTTTACCTCCATAAACTAACTCAATCTCTTAAAAGAGTGCAGAAAACAAAAGCAGTCTTTTAAAATTGATAAATACCACAGAACACTGAGGAACCTGGAATCATTCCTCTTTCCACATAGAGTTTTAGAACTGCACTAAAAAAATACATAAAAGACATTATTTGGAGAGAAAGAAATAAAACTATCTCTATTTGTAGACAACATGATTGTCTCATAGAAAACTCCAAGGAACTTACAAAAAAACTCCTAGAACAAATAAGTGAGTTTAGTAATGTTGCAGGATACAAGATCAATACACAAAAATCAATTGCATTTCTATATACTGACGACAAACAGGTGGAAATTGAAATAAAAAAACACAACATTTGCAATTTCTCCAAAGAAAATGAAATATTCAGTTATAAATATAACAAAAAAGTACGGGATTTGTATGTTGAAAGTAAGAAAATGCTGAAACTCAGCATAATAAAGATGCCAATTCTCCCCAAATTGATATATAGATTTAGCAAAATTCCTATCAAAATCTCAGCTAGTTTCTTGTAGACATAGACAAGATTATTCTAAAATTTATACAGACAGGAACTAGAGTATTAAAAATAATTTTGATAATGAAGAATAAAGTGGGAAAAATCATTCTTCCCAATGTTAAGGCTTGCTATATAGCTGCAGTAATCAAGAATGTGTGATTCTGGAGAAAGGATAGATACATAAATGAAAGGAACAGAACGGAGAATCTAAAATAGTTCCACAAAAAAAATATCCAATTAATTTTTGACAAAGGAACAAAGGTAACTGGAGGATGGAGGATAGATAGCCTTTCCAATAAACCAGTGGTAGAGCAATTGGGCATCCTTTAGCCAAAAAAAGAAATGAGCCTCTACCTAAACCTCACAACTTATAGAAAAATTAGCTCAAAATGGATCATAGACTTAAATGTAAATGTAATATAATGTGAAACTATAAAATATATGGAAATAAGTATAAAATATATAAAAAGTATAAGAAAAATATGTAAAATTATAAAACTTACAGAAAAGAACATAGGAGAAAATTGTCAGGGACCCAGGACTGGGGCAAGAATTAAACTTATTGCCAAGAGCATGATCCATAAGAGGAAAGTTTTATTAATTTGATCTCATCAAAATTAAAAACTTTCCCTCTGTGAAAGACTATTTACAGGAGGAAAAGGCAAATTACATACTAGTAGGAAATATTTGCACATTATATATCTGACAAAGGCCTTGTATCTAGAATAAATAAAGAACTCCCCAAATTCAACATTTTTAAAATAAATAATAGTTCACTTAGAAAAAAACTTGCACAGACATTTCATCAAAGAGGATTTCCAGATGACAAACACATAAAGGAGTTCTCAATCACTATTTCTTTGAATACTTTTTCAGTGCCACACTCAAAAGAGTTCCCTTTTATTCCTAATGGATTAACAGTTTTTATCATGAATGGGTATTGGATTTGGGGTATGGGATTTTTTTATTGAGGTAAAATTCACATAACATAAAATTAACCATCAACCATTTTAAAGTGTACAATTCAATGGAATTTAGTACACAGTGTTGTGCAACCATCATGTCTACCTAGTTTCAAGACATTTTCATCACCTCAAAAGGAAATCCTATAGCCATTAAGCAGTCACTCCTCATTCCTCCTTCCCCCAGCCCCTGACAACCACTAATTGACTTTTTGTCTCTATGGATTTACCTATTCTGGATGTTTCATATAAATGGGATCATATAATATGTGACTTTTTGAGTCTGGCTTCTTTTACTTACCATAATATTTTCAAAGTCCCATCCATGTTGTAGGATGTATCAGTACTTCCTTCCTCTTTATGGCTGAATAATATTTCACTATATGGATACACTACATTTTGTTATCTATTCATCATCTAATGAAGACACTTGAGCTGTTTCTATCTTTTAGTTGTGAATAGTAGTGATGTAAATATTGGTGTACAAGTGTTTGTCTGAATATCTGTTTTCAATACTGTTGGATATATACCTAGGAGTGGAATTGCTGGGAAATATGGTAATTCCATGTTTAACTTGTTGAGGAACTGCCAAACTTTTTTCCACAGTGGCTGCACATTTTACATCCCCACCGGCAATATATAAGGGTACTGATTTCTCCCAATCCTCACCAACACTTGTTATTTTTTGATTTTTTGATTATGGGTAACCTAGTGGGTGTGATAGATGTCAAATTTTATTGAATGCATTTTCTGTGTGAAAATGAGATGATCATATAATTTTTCATCTTTAGCTTGTTGATATGGTAAATTACATTAATTGATTTTCAAATATTAAACCATCTACATGGACTAATACACACTTTGTCACTGCATATTATTCTTTTTATACATTATTGGATTCAATTGGCTAAACTTTGGTTGAGGATCTTGAATCTAAATTCATGACAGATATTACTTTGTTGTTTTCTTGTTGATCTAATTTTAGTATCAGCGTAATACCGGCCTCATCAAGTGAATTAGGAAATGTTCCCTTTTATTCTGATGTCTGAAAGGAATAGTGTAAATTGGTGTTAATTCTTTGAATGTTTTACAAAATTCTCCAGTGAAGCCAACTGGACCTGGGGATTTCTTTTTTGATAAATTTTTATTACAAATTTAATTTCTTTAGTAGAAGGACTATTCAGATTATCTATATCATATTTGCTGAGTTTTCGTAGTTTGTAGTTTTCGAAGAATTTGTCCATTTCTTGTAAGTTCTCAAATCTATGAATGTAAAGTTGTTCACTGTTTTCTTTGGTCAGCCTTTAAGGGCTGCAGGCTCTTTTGTGATATCCCCTAAATCCATTCCTAATATTGGTGATTCATTTCCTCTCTATTTTTATCTTTGTCAATCTTTCCAGAAGTTTATTAATTTTATTGATTTTTCTTCTTACAACCAGTGTTTCTCTGTTTCATTAAATTTTCTGTATTATTTTTCTGTTTTCAAATTGAAATTTTGATCTCGATTGATTTTTCTCTTCATTGAAATTTTGATCTCGATTGATTTTTCTCTTATTTCCTTCCTTCTTACTTTTGGCTTATTTTGCTCTTCTTTTTCTGGTTTATTGAGGTAGAAACTTAGAGTATTGATTTGAGATTATTTCTATTTTCTAATGTAAGCATTTAGTTCCATAAATTGCCCTCTCTGCAATGCTTTATCTGCATTCCACAATATTTGCTATTTTTTATTTTTTGTGTGTGTGAGGGAGATCAGCCCTGAGCTAACATCCTATGCTGATCCTCCTCTTTTTTGCCGAGGAAGATTGGCCCTGAGCTAACTTCTGTGCCCATCTTCCTCTACTTTATATGGGATGCCGCTACAGCATGGCATGACAAGCAGTGTGTTGGTGCCTGCCTGGGATCCAAACCCGCGAACCCCAGACCACCAAAGCGGAGCGCATGCACTTAACCACTTGCACCGCTGGGCCGGCCCCTGCTATGTTTTATTTTCATATTAACTCAGTTCTATGTAATTTTTATTTTCTTTGAGACTTCCTCTTGGACTCATGGATTATTTAGTAGTGTGTTTAATTTCTAAATTTTAGGAGATTTTCCCATTATCTTTCTGTTATTGATTCTTAGTTTGATTCCATTTGGACAGAGAATGTACTCTGATTTCAATTCTTTTAAATGTGCAGAAGATTATGACTCAGGATATGGTCCATCTTGATGAATGTTCCATGGGTGCTTGAAAAGAATGTGTATTCTGTTATTGTTGGGTGGAGTGTTTTACAAACGTCAATTAGATCCTGTTGGTTGATGGTGTTGTTTAGTTCTATACTCTTGCTGATTTTCTGTCTAGTAATTCTATAAATTGTTGAGATTAGAGGATGCTGAAGTAGCCAACTATAATTGTGAATTTGTCTATTTCTCATTTCAGTTCTCTCAGTTTTTGCTTGATGTATTTTGAAGCTCTGCTGTTTGGTGTATACACATTTAAAACTGTTACATCTTCTTAGTGGATTGATCCTTTTATCATTATGTAATGTCTCTCATTGTCCCTAGTAATCTTTTTTGCTCTGAAGTCTACTTTATCTCATATTAATAGACCCACTCCTACTTTTTAGGACTAATATTTGTATAGTATCTTTTTCCATCATTTTACTTTCAGTTTACCCATGTAGAAAGCATACAGTTGACTCATGTTTTTTTAATCCACTCTGCCATTCTCTGTCTTGTAATTGGCGTATTTAGACCACTCACATATTAAAGTAATTATTGATGTGTTAGAGCTTAAGTCTTTCTTTTTTTGTTTTCATTTATTCTATGTCTTGTCTTTCTGTTCCTTTTTTATCACCTTCCTGTGGGTAGCGAACATTTTTTAGAGTTCCATTTTGATTTATTTATAATGTTTTTGAGTTTATTACTATGTAGCTGTCTTAGTGGCTGCTCTAGGTATTATCATATACTTATGTAACTAATCACAGCCTACAGGTGTCAACACTTTACCACTTCAAATGAAGTATAGTAAGCTTACCTCTATTTTTATTTCTTTACCCTCTCCACTTTTTAGATATGCTTTTCTTAAGTATTTCCTCTGTATACATTCATCACAACATCAGATTGGTGTTATATCTTTTGCTTCAACCATAAAATATATTTAAAGAAACTCAAGAAATGAAAGATAGTATATTATGTTTATTCCTATTTTTACCCATTCTGGGTCTTTCTTTCCTTTCTGAAGGTTCTGGCCTTGTGTTATCATTTGCTTTTTGTTTGGAGAGCTTCCTTTAGCCATTATCTAAGAATAGGTTTGTTAGAAACAAATTCTTTTAGTTTCTCTTCTGAGAATATATTTATTTCCTCTTCATTTCTGAAGATAGTTTCACTCTATATAGGCTTCATGGTTGATAGTTTTCTCTTTCAGAACTTGAAAATTGCTATGCCATTTCCTTTTGGCCTCCATGGTTTCAGATGAGAAAACCACTGTTATTTGAATTGGTGTTACTTTGTAGGTAATGTATCATTTGTCTCTATTTTTAAGATTTTTTCTTTGTCTTTAGCTCTTAGTTGTTTGATTATGATGCGTCTTGGTGTGGATTTCTTTGAGTTTAATCCTATTTGAGACTTACTCAGCTTCTTGAGGTCTCTGTCTTTAGCCAAATTTGATACATTCCTAACCACTAATTCTTTGAATACTTTTTCAGTCCCATACTCAAAAGAGTTCCCTCTCCTTCTGGGATTCTGATGACAGGAATGTTAGATCTTTTGTTACTACCCAATGGATCTCAGATGCTTTGTTCATTTTTTTTTCAGTCTATTTTCCCTCTGTTCTTAAAACTGATTAAATTCTATTGATGTCTTCAAGTTCACTGATTCTATCCTCCATCATCTCCACTCTACTATTAAGACCATCCAGCAGGGTTGTTTTTTTTTTTAATTATTATTGTATTTTTCAGTGCTAAAATTTTCCACTTGGTTCTTTTTTATAACTTCTATTTCTTTGCTTAGATTTTCTATTTTTTCACATGTTTCAAGAAAATTTGTAATTGATTGCTGAATTATTTTCTGGCAACTGCTTTAAAATCCACATTATATACTCTCAACATCTTGTTCATCTCAGTATTGGCATCAGTTGATTGTCTTTTCTCATTCAGATTGTGGTTTTCCTGGGTTATAGCATGGCGAGTAATTTTTGTTCGTATTCTTAACAGTTTAGTCACTATGTTAGGAGACTGTTGATCCTATTAATTCTTCTATTTTAGCAGGTAGTTAACTTGTTCAGGTTTAGAGTGTAGATTCTCACCTACTTTTGTCATTTCAATAACAATTTAGTTTTCAAAGTTCTTGCAGTGCAATTTTAGTCTTCTAGGGTTTCTTCTCAATTCCTGCTGCCAGCACCATTTATGGGAGTAGAATACACTTCTCTGGGCTGCCTTGTATCCCTGGGCCACCCTCTGTGGAAGGAGCAGTGGGCCTGGGTCTACTTATGTCACTGAGTGTGTGCAGGTTGATATTATCCCTATGGGTGTATCAGTCTGCCAGCTGGTGCCCTGGTAAGAAAGTAGGGATTGGGATGGTCAAGGGCTTTCTGTTGTCACTGCAACTGGCAAAATGGATTGCCATCCCTGGATGTTAATCAGAAGGTTTGGACTCCTCACCAGGTCTCTGATGTGCTTCCCCTTTTCCAGTATTTGGATGGAGGGAACAGACTTTTCTTGGGACTTTTTGCCTATGCCTATTAGTGTTGCAGACTAGTTAGTGTTCCAGATTGCAGGCCTTTCTTGGTCCCCAGTTTAAGGTATATGTGAGATGAAAAAAAAAAAAAACCAGGAAGCTCACCATATTGCCCTTCCGCAAAACCTGAAGTCTCTAGCCATTATGCCTTCTTCCTTCCAGCTTTCAGAGTTCTTTTATTGTTATCTGATGGATAATTTTCAAAGTATTTAGTTGTATCTGTAGGAGACAAGCGTGGAAAAGTGAGTCTACACAATCTTGTTCTAGAACTAGAGCCACTCAATCTCTTTTATCCTGCAAATGTAACACATCTATTGGATAATGTTCACATATTAGATATAGCACCATCATAGAAATTTCATCAATAGTTTCTGCATAAATAGAAATAAGCCTAGGCTAAAATTAGCTGTGAACTAACCATAACTCCACCCCTCTCCCACTGATCCATAACCTACAGAGGGTGACACTAAACTATAACTGACCTTCTAGTGAAATGGTTTCAGGACAAGCATTTTGCCTCAAGAACTATTTAAATCATGTCCTTAATGGAATTGCCTCATAATATTATTGTGAGGATATAAGTAAGCAATATGTATTGTTTGTCACAGTTGCTGGTACACAGGACTCAGTAAATTATTCATTATCATTACTGCTCATTTATTCATTCAGCAAGTGTTAATTGAGAACCTATTTGTGCCAGGAACTAAATTCTCTGTGCTCAAAAACTAACATTCTAATTGGGGTAAAAAATGATAATGACCCAGTAAACAAGTAAATAAACAAGGTAATATCAAATAATATGAAACTCCATGCAGAGAATAGAGAGTGGGAGGCTACTTTAGATTTGGTTGTCGTGGAAGACCTCTCTGAGGAGAAGATTTTAAACTGAGATGTAAATGACAATGGGGAATCAGTCATAAAAAAACCAAGGAAGAGCCATCCTGGCAGAAGTAAGCTAGAATAAAGACTGTGGGCAGGAACACATTGTCATAGTCAAGAAACAGGAAAGCCAATGTGACCATTGAGTAGTGGCTAAGAGCAAGAGCAATTCAACATGACATCAAACACAAAACTAGGGACCATGTCATGCAGATCCAGGTAGGAAGTCTGGGTTTATTCTAAAGGCCAGGGAAGACATTAGACGACTGTTATTATTGGCAAAACCTAATTCTAAGGGATTTACTCCAATAAACTCTCTGAGCATAGTTCCTCTTTAGAGTCTGACCTAAATTAAAGACTCATTAATTTGCAGGCTCACCAATAAACTCCACACTAGCTTTCATCTTAAAAACAGTGGGTCTGAATTGCTCATTATACTAACTGGCACAAGGAATAATTCATATAATTTTGAGGAATAGTCATTGATCATGCTTTCTTCTATTTCACTTCATGAAAAAAATGACTAACATGTTTTGAGCAATTGTTGATACATTTGTGGATTTTGATTCCATAGGGAACCTCTGTGGAGATGCCAGGAGTCTAAGATGCTTTGAATCCCTTTACCATAACACAATTGTGCAAATGAGGACAGAAAGAAAAGATGTCCCAACATATAGTAGTACAAATGTAAATGTGGTCCTAGAGCCCCTTCTGTTTAACCTATATTTTAATAAATTGGTATTGTATTAATTAATTAGATGCAGTCTTCCTTCGTGCCAAACACTATCCTTCTCTATGCCAATGATTTTATAATCATGAACCAGGATTTTCCCAGAGTCCACTTATAGTCAAAAGAAAAATGTACTTTATGTCTAGGCCTCTCATTTTTGTAGGATTTATTCTATTGCCTTAAATTAAGACTTTCTTGACTAATTCAGTTCCTCCCAACCAGAAACATTCATGTCATGTAGGCATAGTATTTTAAATTATAATTGTTCTATGGCTGAACAATCATCTTGTTTGTTTCCCCAGATATGAATGAAGCACAAGCAGAGCACGTTCTCAACAGCTGTAAGTTCAAGAACATCATTGAGATGTTTATAAACAAAATAATAAAACTCAAAAAACAGTGTTTCTCTGTTCCCATGTTTACTATTTCCCAAAAGTATATAATATCGCTGAATGGATACATGATTTAACTCTCCCTAAGGGAAAAAATATCACTACTAATAATTGGGAATGTTTATATGGAAATACTTGCTCTTCCTCACAGAAAGTTTCACTGATGACTTAAAAATTCCCTTTCATTTTATCTTATTTATTTTTATTTGGCTCACTTTGTCAAAGTAAAAAATTTGGCTTAGAATTAAATGACATCTACTAACTTTAAGGTGTGAACTTGGACATTTATGCTATAGTAATGTAATGGTTGTACTAATAGACAAGTCTTTTAGAAGAGGTCAAATGGTATTTTTCTGCAGTAAATAGTGTGCATTTCACACTCAAAATTTTCAAATATCACTGGGATAAACTGCTGTACAGAAGAACAAGACCTGGAAAAATATGAAAAAAAATTTTTTTAAGTGAAATTGATTTAAATCAAAGAGGGCGTTAAGTATTTTATTTTTTTAAGTTTATCCTTTTTCCAATGTGAATAATCATTGTTATATTATATAATTTTGATTAATTTTTTAAGGCAAGGCAAATTGATAAATATTTCCATCTTTATGTGCCAAATATACCTACACACATTTATAACTCTGGAAATAACCATCTTATTCCCTTCTGACAGGTTGTGGTTTAGGGAAGGAGTCCCAGTCCATGGAAAGAATTGCCAATGGTTATATTGTAAAGGAAGCTGATTGGCCATGGCAAGCCAGCCTGCAGATGGATGGCATCCATTTCTGTGGAGCATCTTTGATCAGTGAGCAGTGGCTCTTGACAGCTGCCCACTGCTTTGACACGTAAGTCCTCAGGCTGTACCAATAGGACCACCAATTTCACCTCTTTTTCTCACCTGCACTTCCTCTAATTCTTATCCCTTTTTCATTAATCATCTTAGGCCCTTTAATGGTCTCATGATTATCTATCAGGCTTAGAAGAAGTAACAATTACTGAAGAATAGTAGAAAAAAATTAGAGAGAGTATCTTCAGCTCCAACTGAATATATATTCTCCAGCAATCTCAACTTTAACTAAGATCAAGCCAACACTACGAAAAGTTAAACACGTTCGCCAGTTTTCTTGAGATATATTGTGAATTTTTTTTAAACTCTGCTAATAATCCCAACCCACAAACTGACATCTGATTATCCCACATGAATATCTTTGGTGCTGTGCTTTTATTATTTGCATGCTTTTTGAAGATTTAACATATGGGACACTTGGAGATAATAAAGAGATACCGTAACTCTAGTGAAATTCATATTTAATGGGAAAATATTCTGGATAAAATGTTAACTAAAGAGAAAGGATGAGAAAACAATTTATAAAGTGTGGCTCCAATTTTACACCTCTCTCTCTCCCTTTCCGTCTCCATAGCTAGACCCACATTTATATAACTGTGCATGGATATGAGTTGTATATGTGTGCATATGTGTGCATATACGTGGGTATATATGTCTAATTTTTATTTACTTATATTTTATGCAACGAATCTTTATTACTTTCATAATCAAAAATAGCAACAATATATTGTTTCCTTTAAAAAATGCAAACTCCCCTTCAAGGAGAGTAATTTAAAGTACCTTAGAATGGGAGTATTTGACTTCAGCTAAACAAAAGCAAAGCAGTCCTAGGGGAGAAGCCTGCAATAAGAAGGTGGGAGGATCAGAGTCAACTATCACCTTAAACAATTTGCCCCTCTCCCACCCTTATGCCTCATGCTCATCCAGAGTCCTGGGCAACATTAGATCAGAAATGAACCAACCATAATCCTTTTAATCTGTGATCAGTTACAAAAACCCCAAACTCTGGACGGCTAGTTTTGGAACAACTCTAAGCCCTTCACTGATGAGAAGAAATGTGCAGTCAATTATCGTTCATGAAAACTATGCTGCCCATAAGCACGAGGATGACATCGCTGTGGTGAAGCTCTCCACCCCCGTCGTGTTTTCCAATGACGTGCGCAGAGTCTGTCTCCCTGATGCTACTTTTGAAGTCTTGCCCAATAGTAAAGTGTTTGTGACTGGATGGGGAGCATTAAAAGCAAACGGTGAGTGAGTATCTCAGTAAAAATACCCAAGCGAAAAACGCAAATCCATCCTCCATTTGAATGGAGATATAAACTAAGATACAAAATCAGAATATGTAAAATAGAGGAAATCAAGATGTTCCATGAAAAAGATGGCAAAAACAACAAACAAAAAACCCAGATATGGTGTATTACGGAAACTTTGGCTACTACTATTACACAGTATCTATGTTTATTGTCTTCTTTATGAGCTATTTTGGAAACTCGTTATAACTTTCTTTTCAAAAATTGTTAAAGCATATTTTTTCACATCATTTTTTTTCTTTTCTGTTGCTGTCTTTCATATGTAGAGATTCTACTACAGCTGCATGATTCTTAAAGTATGTGATTTCTGAGCAGTAGTAATGATAAACTTTTGTAATGTGTCATGCAACTAAACAAAAAGAGCCTTAAGCAAGCAATTTGAACAGCATTTCTGAGGCTAAACATAAATGAGCCCCCTCTGATCCATGTATTTATGGAGTAGTTTTGAGCCCAAGACTTTATAAAGTTGACAAGTATGACATTTTACTACATTTAATAATACACAATAAACTGCGAAGATAGACTTGTAGATCCTAATATGAGTCTCTAGTTCCTTTGTCTCTTGTTTGGACTTTTTACATATGGTTTAATCTGCCCTTGAACTTCTAATTCTTGTTCCAGGCTCTCATTATACAGTTGTAGTCTTACTTACGTACTTGCTTAAAGTATAGCTTTTATCTATTGAGTTTTTATCCGTTGATTATATTAGATTATTATAGAAATCTGCTTCCCTTCCATATGCACTCCAAAATTCTGACACTGAGTCCAGGTTGATACACTGTCATTATAATCTGAGAGTTCTATTCCTCATCTCTGGGGGATCTGCCTTGTTCTACAGGCAGTATGATGAGTATGAAGTGGAATTAAATCCTTTGGGATTAGACAAGCCACTTACCGATTGCAGTAGAAGTGGATAGCATCTGCCACTAGGGCAGCACCATTCCATTTCCTCTACAACCTGATTAAACCTGTCACCACCCCCTCCCAGAGTATTAGTTTAGGATGATTTGGGACTGAATGATCATGAATCATTCAATGCCCAATAATGTGCAGATTACTATGCATTGATCCACCTACTCTAACAAGTTGCATACTTTTCAGGAATAATGTTATGAATTTGTTAGATAACAGACTAAAGTTAAGTATTAGATATTTGATTATGGGTTTTTTTCTGTATTTTGAAACTGAGACAAGGGGTACTCAGGTTTTCTTCTCCAACCTCCCAAGATTTATCCAATTATATCTAATTAGCAATTTTGTTACCATACAGCTTATAAAATGGAAACTCTGTTCCAGATAGTTTCTTCCTTAAATAGTTGATAATGTAAAATAGCTTGTTATATTGTTAAGCACTTGAATTGACTTTGTAAAAGTTGAGATTAAAGAATTATAAGCATTTGAAATTTAAAACTAAGCATCCTAGATCAATTAGCTAAAATAAAAATAGGCACACAGAAATTTTAAGTATTGGAATACTGTTGATTAAAGTCTAGGAAGACCTATAAATTTGGAATGCGAATTAGAAACAGCAAAAGAGATAGCATTGAATATTGCTGAGGCACCTACACAAACAGTTTAAAAATTTGTATAAAGAGTAGATGGTGAGCAGATTCTCTCACTGGGAGCATTTCAGGCAGAATCAGAGATAAAGTAAAGAGAAAATGGTCACAGAATGACCCTCCCATGCTTAAAAATGATGACTGAGGGGCCGGCCCGGTGGCGCAAGCGGTTAAGTGCATGCGCTCCGCTGCGGCGGCCTGGGGTTTGCTGGTTCGGATCCCGGGCGCGCACCTACGCACTGCTTGGCAAGCCATGCTGTGGCGGCGTCCCATATAAAGTGCAGGAAGATGGGCACGGATGTTAGCCCAGGGCCGTCTTCCTCAGCAAAAAAAGAGGAGGATTGGAGGATGTTAGCACAGGGCTGATCTCCTCACAAAAAAAAAAAAAAAAAAAAATGATGACTGAGGTGAAGAAATTCACTAGACCCTAGATAATTTTAAACAACTGTAGAGGAGTTGGACTTAGTTTTTCAGAAAGATAGTCAATTCTAGGTAAGTGAATTTACTAGTTTTAAAACAGATAATTAGATTTATTTACAGTGAACGACAAAATCCCTAGAAACCTAGATCTTCGAAGTCTTATAAAAGCTGTAGCTCTTACCATCCATTCCTTAACATTGAGGCACAGCTTTTAGACCCACGAGAGTTTTAAATATATAACCCTAATCTCTACAATTCACTCCAACAGCTTCCATTGAGGTCAAAGTCTGAATATGGGACCAGGCACTATCAAACTGATTATATTTGTTACTTTTTAACCCTCACAATAAGCACGTGAGATAGGTATCATTTTCTCCTTTTTATAGGTGAGTAAAATGATGCTCTAGTAAGGTAGTAACGTGCCCAAGGCCACATAGCACATAAATTGAGCAAAGTGTTCAAAACTCATATCTGCTGCCTCTAAGATCAGAGCCCTTAGCACAGAATTACCCTGACTTGTTGCTCAAATCAATAGCACTGCCCTCCTTCATCCTCTCAATTGTCTTTGAAACTGTTGTAAATAGAGTATCCATCTTTATATGAAGGATTAACAATCTTTAAAATAGAAGCTGTTAAAGGAGAATAAGAAGAATATAATGGTTAAAACAGTACCATACACAACTAAATAATACCTTTCATATAATAAAAAAATCAAAAAATGTGAGGTTAATTAGTAAAACATGATCTATTTCTTATCTTAGTATTTGTTTCTCACAACGGTATTATTTTTGGATAGCAATTTAAGTTATTATCAAAGTAAACATGGTCTTTCTTATGAAGCAATAGGATTCCATCTATTCAGTATTAAAGTTACTTCCTGATAGTACAACTTTGTGCTATACTGCTCTTACTAAAGGATTCTCAATTCCCAATATAGCTGTGTCCTTTGTAAAATGATGAGGCAGATTTCCAGTTAAGATAAGGTTAACTGCCACAGATTATCCCAGGCAGGGAGAAATGCCCTGGGTTTACTTCTAATGTTATCCTACATTTAGCTATGTGATCATAACAAGATTCATAATCAGGTGAGTTTTGGCCTCCTCATCTGAAAAAGAAAATATTCAGATTTATCTTTGGTGGTTGTTGCAAGGAAAATAAGATAGTGGAAGCAAATGTGCCAAGAATGGTCCCCAGACATAGAAGGCACCCAAGAAATATAACTGGAATCTGAGCACCATCATCAAGCCCAGAATCCTACAGCTTCAAGACATATGTTTTATCACTGATCCATCCTTTGCAAGACACAACAATTAACCATCATAAGCAACAATGTAGAAATTCTTCATCTATTTATTTTTTTCTTCTTTAGGTCCCTTTCCCAATACTCTGCGCCAAGTTGAAATAGAGATCATAAGTAATGATGTATGTAATCAAGTATATGTATATGGTGGTGCTGTATCATCAGGAATGATATGTGCTGGATTCTTGAGAGGAAAACTAGATGCCTGTGAGGTAAGAATAGGCTCAAATCCACAAAAATAAATTTGTTGAATAGAGATGGCCTTACTGATCAGAGACCAATGTCACTTCACATGACTCCGTAAATTAAATTGTGGAGGAGAGTGTAAAAATGAGGGAATGGTAAAACAATAAGAAATACTCCTCATTTAACACCCTATTATTATCCAGAACCGTATGTAAAAAATGATCACCAGGTGCCAATTAGGACTCTGATTAGAGAAAAGAACTGGAAGCAGATAGTAGAAACCAAGTCAGGAAGCCACACAATCATTGCTTCAAGCCATAGTCATAACCAATATTTAGATATCTAATTTCTAACAATCGTAAGGCACTGAGGGATGGGATCTGCAGATATCTCATGGCTAATAGAGCATCATCTCACTGGTGCTTGAACCTTTGACCTTAAACACTGTACATCCAGATAGAATTACACTATTTAGGGAAAAAAAAAAACACATTTATCTACACTTATTCATATGAAAGTATTACCTCACAAATAATCTATAGAAACTAATTAAATAAATAGCATTTTCCCTTAACCATACAAAATATTAATTTTAAGCATTAACTATTTAAGGAGAACATTAGTTTTAGTCTGGCTGTTTAAAGGACTAAAAATAAATACCTATAGCATTTGTAACTGGGTCTAACAGTTTAGCAGTTCTTCAAGGATTAGAAATGGCTTTGAGAATTTGACACATTAGAGTGCTTTTCTTATTTGCAAAGGTGTCACTATTATTCTGCTATTGGCTGTCTCTTACATGATGTAATAAACATTCATTCATTTATTCAAATTTTTTGTGAATTGCAAGGTACCATGGCAATTACTTAGGGAAACATAAACATTAAAAAAAACACAATGAATTTACAATCTAATACTATAGCATACAAATAACTAAAATAATGAACAAAAAACTAAGATTTGGTTACATATTCTGGAATACAAGGTCTCCTTCCACTCACTTTATTTCCTGAGAAGCAGAAACAACGTGGGTGGTCCAAGATACAATTGGATTACATGACTTTCAAGGAGGAACATAAATAAATCTATATTTAGAACAGACTCAAATCCACAAAAATAATCTGTTGTATTTGAGTTTATTCGGTAAGAGAGCAGATGTTCTCTTTCCATTGGTCCATGTTCCCTTGCTTCCATCCCACTAGCATACTGATGACCTAAATTAGGATATGGGCCTATGAGAAAAGAGCTAGGGAGGACAGCTTTTGGTAGACCAGGATTTTCACACTCTGTCCACTGAGCACTAAGTGTACTAAAAAACAGGTGAAGGGAAGAGAGCTAAAGGCACAAGACTCTAGGACCCCATGCCTGCTTCAAACAGGATCATTTCTCTTATTAAAAAATGTCTGTAAGGTGCTTCCACATAAGACTACTTTTGACTGAATAGGTTCATTGCTAAAAGATAAAATTAAAAATCATTTATCTAAACCTTGGGTTAAAGATATCAGGGAAGTCTTCACGATTCACACACTTCAAACCAGTTCACTAAGGCTAGGGATTCCACCTTAGTTTGGGAGCAAAATCCTTTGTGTAATAAACGGTGCACATTTGCTTGAAGTGCCATTTGCATATCTTCCTCCTCTCAAACCTATTGCTGCACAGTGATACAGTGTCCAGGACACCTTCCTATCAGCTGATGTGAGTGGAACAAGGTGAGATTCAAATTCAAAGCAAGAGATTATTTCTACCTAACAGAGTTAGGAGAGGCTTCATGGAGGAGGTGATATTTAGTTGGTCTTGATGTCATCATTTACATAAAAATTGGATGCTGGGACTTAGGTTCAATTTGTGCTCTCTGTTTAGAGAGAACAAAACTAAAAACTATGCAAGGATAAAACTGAAACATTAGCTCTATTCACACTATCTTCCAGATGAAGACATTAATAGAGATAAGCAGAGATATTAAGTAATAAGCTCAATTATCATATTAATACTAATGATAAGTAAAAATAGAATTAGTTTTACATAATTCAATTCAAAATATTAATTTATTAGACATTCAGATGCTCATTAACTTGCATTTCTGACACCACTTTATTTATTACATTGATGATATTTTTTTTCCTCTTCTTCTTCTCCAGGGTGATTCTGGGGGACCTCTGGTTATAGCACTTGATAGAAACATCTGGTACCTTATTGGAATAGTAAGCTGGGGAATAGACTGTGGAAAAGAAAACAAGCCTGGAGTTTATACCAAAGTGACTCATTATCGGGACTGGATCAAATCTAAAACCAACCTCTAATGCGACAACTACCTCCACATCCAAAATGTAAATGTCATGTGTGGTCTCCAGCAAATTGTGTGTTTAGTATGTGTCGCCATGTATACTGTCATCGAGTTCAGGATGCAAATAAGTGTGATCTGACAACTCTCTCCTTAAACATGAAGAAACCAGACTTTCTTCCACATCACCTGAAGTATTCTGCTGACCATGAGCTTAAAAGATACTGTCAACTCCACAGAGATCCACTATTGCTGCTAAGTGTCTGTGATTACCTCCTTACTCACCTCTCTGTCCATACTACACACTCCTCATTTTAGAATAACCTAGCAGTTTAATCAGATAAATACCAACTGGCTAAGCATTCTCTATTTTTTCCCTGACAGAGCATGCTGCCCTTCCCTGACTCCAAAGTTTTTATCTTCCTCATCAAATGATCCTAAGAACCTGTAGGTCCACTATACTAGACAAATCAAGGTAATTAGTTTTGGCAAATGCTAACACAAGTGATGGAGGGGCACTAGACATGAAGCTAGGACTTAACAGATGGCACCACTGTGAGTCCTTTCCCCTTTGCCATCAGATGTGCATTTAACCTTTCTTTGAAACTTGAAAAAAGTTGACATTTACATTTACACCCAATAGTGCAGATTTTAAACTCCTTAAACAACTACATTAATGTTTACTTTGGGAAAATGAATAAATCCTTGAATCAGACACCAGGAGAATTAAAAATATTGCCTAGCAAAGGATTCTATTCTAAACTATGTAAAAATGCCTTTTGGTACTCAGAAAATATAGACAAAGTTTCTTGGCATTTTGGTTAGTTGGAAATGACAAGCAGCGAGGACTCAGTGAGAAGAAGCTACTTTTCATCTCTAAAAATCAGAAAAGTTCCAATCCTGGTGTAAATTTACTTTTCACTTCTGTTTTATTATTTCTTAATGCATTTTATTTTCCAAACAGTTTTATTTTCAATCAACTTTCAGAACAATTAAAGGACCTGCAGAATGAGAAGCCAATATAAATTAGATATTCATAAATAACTTATATGAGAAGCCAATATAAAATTAGATAGTCATAAACACTTTGATACAAGATTTTGGGGAAGATCTTATTGTATAACATTTAAATTTACTGTTAAAAAGTGGCCAGCTTTCTTTGAAGAATGGTATTTATAGAGAATATTCAAATAATCAAGAAAGCACATTTGGAATGTTTTCATTACTATGATAAAATAGTCATTTTTATATGTATTTAAATGCATATTTTGTGGCATTACATGTGACTGTGGACTAGTGTTCAACAAAACTCAAACTTTTTCTGTGTATAAAAACGTTTATTTGCTTCCCCCCCTTTTATGATTAATTTAATTAATGAAATAACTGTCATGGGAACATTTTCTTTTGAGTTTTACATCACGTAAGAGTCTCTCTTTTCCCTCATAATATCATATTGTAAACATTAAAATATATTTATAATAATAAACTCAAACTGGCTCTCTTTGAATCATTGCCGTCCTGCCAGGTTTCTCAACCTTAGCACTACCCACATTTTGTCAGAGAGAATTCTTTGCTGTGGGGGGAGGGCGGCAGCTATCCTGTGAATTGTAGAATGCTTGGCAACATTCTTTCCCTCTACACACTAGAGGCCAGTAGTAACCCCCACCAAGTTGTAACAACCAAAAATGTATCCAGACATTACCAAATGTCCCCTGGGGGCAAAGTCACCCCTAGTTGAGAACCATTGCTGTGGGATCGATAGTCAGAGGGAAAAAGTCACTGTTAAAAATCTTGCCCCTAGAATACCCTTACATGAGTTGGGGAATACCTTCCTTCTCCCCTTTTTTGTAATGCTGATGTATTGAGAATGCTGAAAGACCAACTATCATGACCATACTCATACCTAAACAATCCTGGCCAAACTAAGATCATTTGGAAACTGAACCTGGTTGGAGAAAGGAGGCTGTTGGAAGGCTGAGCTGCCACAGGCAAATAATTCATCTTGATAGATAGATGATAGATAGATAGATAGATAGATAGATAGATAGATAGATAGATAGATAGATATCTCTATATAGATGTATTGAGATCTATAGACATATACCTATAGAGATCTATAGCAAGGGATAGAGAGATTGATTTGTCAAATACCTAAATCCTGCATAATCACACCATGTATACTCTAAATATTTAGTACTCTCAGAATGCATAAATACTGCTTGAAAAGAGATTTACATATTCAGCTGAGGCAGAATGGCTCAGTCTATCATCCACTAACACTGCAGAGTGGAGAATAGAAAATTGCATAGCATTACTATGCACTAAAAGCTACATTGTTCAATATGGTAGCCACTAGCCAGATGGGGCTACTTAGATTTAAATTAATTAAAATTAAATACAATTAAAATTCATTTCCTCAGTTATACCAATCACATTTCAAATACAAAACAGCCACATGTGGCTAGTGGCTACTATGTTGGGCAGCACAGACATACATTATTTCCTTCATCACGGAAAGTTCTGCGGACATCAATGACCTAAAGTATTCTATGCAACTAATTACATAATCACTCACTCATCTAACAAATATTTCTTGAACCTCTATGTGTCAGACTTTGGGTATTGTAGACAGTGGTTATACAATTATGTATAAAACCAAGTCCTATTCTCAAGAGCACATAAAGAGGTAAAAGTATTTTTGGTAACTGCTGTTGAAGGTAGCAGACCCTTTAGGGAGTGTGGTTGGCCAGGCATAGCACGACCACTTTTAGATGCTCCTTCCTCTTGGGGCACTGGTCCACTAATAGAGAGGGGAATCTCTGTATGAGCTATATAGTAGGCCCACCAGAGACAGACAGGTAGATTGAAGTGGTCAGAAATGAGTTTTTCAACCTTTCTTAGACAAAGATCCCAGAACTTCCCCAATTTATGGTACCTTAAAGAACCAAAAAGATATTTTTTTGCTTTTTAAATCAAAAGGGAATTTCTTATAACCTAGAAAGATATATTAATGGCAACCAAACAAAAGAGTAGCAAATAGTGGAGGAGGATCAGAGTGATTTAGTCACCAAAGATTAAAAATTTTAAATGATATTTTAAGCAAGAAGCCAACTCAAATAAAACAAGAATTATATTGTGCAATCTGTTAATGTCGTTTTGTTATAGATGAATCCAGGAAATGCAGAAACCACAGATCACTGTGACCCACACCTATGTTCATTAAAACACTGCAAGAAAGACACTAAGAAACTTAAAACCAAATGTGTTACTATGCTGCCATCTCCTGGTCGATGTTATTTTTAAAATATACTTGATTGTAACTTCATTTCAAGCTATAGAGTTACTTGAGCTCTTTTCCAACATAGAATAGTACAAAGAAAAATCTGGCAATCTCTTCCCAATTTTCTCCTAAGGTAATCAAAGTTTAAAGTTTTGTATACCCTTTCACATTGTTCTCTTTGTTTATACAAACATAAACAAATACATCTATTCAGTTATAAAGGGCTTACCTATCTTTTTTTTTCCAAAAATAGCATCATTTTATATGCACACACACATATATGTATGCATATTTTATATATCTTGGCTTTCATTTCCGCCAAAATGGTGAACTAGCATAGAATACTTACTCCTTACTCCAAATCAACCAAATCAGATAAACTATAGAATGAAGAGGTAAACATGGATTCTAGACCAGGAAATTATAATAAAAGTGAGAGACTGGGAGACTAGGGCTATCTTGAACTAGAGTACGTATGGAGGGTAGGTGGCAGAAGCCTGGAATGGAATGAGAGAATAATTGAAAGAAAGTTTGTTAAGCTTTACTCTGATGTCCCCCAACACCTTGCCTTGCCCTATGTTGCCCTGAGAAAATGTTCACCTGCTTTTCATAATAGAAACTGGTCTCAGCAATCCAGACCACCAATTTTGGAAGTGTCAGGGCAAACGCCTACTAAGGAGAAGAGTTTCTAGAAAGGGTGGCAATGAATCAGCTGCTTTCAGGTACTTCGTGCCTCATCCTCACTCCTCCAGACATCCAGGGCTGCTGCATTGAAATTTAAGGAGACTGTTTCCTCCCAGCACTGCTTTACTCGAACAATCTAGCTCTGTACCTGCTCCTCCTAGGGTCAGCCTTCACCTGCAGAGGAGAGTCACCACTGAACTTCTTAACTATGTTCAAGCCCCTCTCACTAGCTCATTTCTAGTGGCTTTGGTAAATGGCATGTCCTTTGGGCCCTCCCATGGAACGTATCCCTTAGTGAGTCTTCTGGTTTCAAATAACATATCCATTCCAGCATGCCCATTTCCCTCAGCCTCTTTATTTCTTCCTCCACTGTCTACCAGGGCAACTAGGGCATTTCTGCTTCACTCAGCCTTGGCTATTGCTTTCTCCAGTCTGTTAAGAGCCATCCTCGGCAGCAAATTTGACCAATCTCCTTGGGTCCTTCCCAGGGTGTTAAACTCCATATCTCAAGGAATTCTTACTTATCCAGTCTTCCATTCAGCTCTCTTTCATCAAGCACCCTCAAAACTCAATGTCAGGAACAGGAGTACTCCTCTGTTGGCACATACTCACTAATTCTTAAAATTCTTATAGTGTATTAGTCTCTTTCCTCCCTTATCAGGCCCAGCCTATGCCTAGCTGAGTTATTGACCTGGCTGTTAATTTATTAGGTGGGAATATCTCTTGAGGAGGCACCTGTTGCCTTGTAGTGGAAAGGGCTCTGTGGCATCTTTCAGCATGGGAGACATTCTGGCCCTTTACTAAGAAGTCAGGGACTACTTCTGCAAATTCTGAGGGTTCAGGGCACTGCAGAACTAATATCTTCAAGGATATCCATCTGCTTATCTCCATCTTACATTTCAAGGTCCTTGGTTTTCACAACCAGGATCCTGACCTAAGCATAGCAAATCCGCTTTGACTAAACATTCAAACTCTGGGAATCTAACTATTAGATCTTCAGCCTGCTGCATAGCTGTGTCTACTCTTCCTCTGTAGGAGATTAGGGCTTATCTGTCACTGGCTCTTATGCTTAGCCTTTAACTGATTGTAAATGACCCTCAGTTTCTCCTTATCCCTATGCAGGGCAACCATGCAATTTAGCAGTAACCAGCCAATTCCACTATCTTTGTAGGCACTCTTCCTTCTCATCTTTCAATTGTCAGGACCATCATACTTGCAGTGGTGTTTCCTCTACCAGGAAGTTTTCTCAGGTCACTGCTGATAACATTTTTAGTAATTTAGCTATCACCTTATGCCAGGGATTATCTGTGCCCCACATGCCACGCAGGAACTTATCTTCTTTACCCAATAGGCAGTGAAGTGAATTAGTTGATCCTAAATTTTCTCAGATCACTGAATCAGACCCCAAAGTGGGATTTTAGGTGCAAGAGATTTATGGTGGAAATTTCTGTGAATAAAGTGAGAAACATGCTGGAAGAGTTAGAGATCTTTCAGAATGCATTTCAGTAGAGAGAGAAGGAAGAGAGAGAAGGAAGAAGAGTTGGACTGGAAGAGTCTCACATGGCAATGCAGTTCCAAGAAAATTTCGCCAAGCCTCTGGGGCATCCTCAAGTCAAAGCCACCCATCAGATGAGTCCCTCATTTCCCAGAAATAAGCCTGCCTTAACAACCCTGCTGTGCTTAGTCATAGGCTTGGAGAAGCCTGTAGGAAGCACAGCCTCAGTGTGAGTGCAGTGGTGGGCTCAGAGCACTGCAGCTGGGGCCATCTGTCAATTATATTCTCCAAAGCTGGAGATCTGAGAAGCACATTACCATGATCACCACAACCACTGATCCCTGCCTAAAAGTATGCACACAAGTAGACTCCAGAAGCAGATTAGAGACATAAGTGAGAAGGGAAAAAATGATGATGTTAATACAAAAAAAAAATGAAGAATGTCTTTGAGACCCAGGATAAGGAATAGATTGTTAAAACAAAGCATAAAGAGTATTAACTGTAAGGCAAAAAAATAAATAGTACATTTGACTATTTACTGCTTCTGTTAGGTAAATAATATGATGGATAGAATGGAAAAAGATCTTTTAAATGTCTTTAACTGAAAAGGTAGTGACGCTAGAAAATACTCCTGCAAATCAACAAGTAAAAGGACAATCTCACTAGAAATATGGGTAAAGGATATGAAAAGGCAATTTACAGAAAAGAAACCCCCAAAACTAGCAAGTATATAAAACAAATTCTTGAGT